TTTACTCTAGGGCAGTGGTGGTGGGGGTGGGGGGGAGAAGGCAGCTCTCAGCCAATCAGCAGGAGCATCATTTCCCAAAGATTCACCAATGACAGCAGCTGAAACAAGGGTGCAGGACGTCGTGCGGCCCAGTGGCCGAGTTCCATTTCGGAGCCCCCCCGGGGCCGCATGCCCTGCTGGGCGGGGCCAAGGACAAAGAGGCGGAGCCAAAATGCCTACCGTATAGTTTACAGCAACATAACACTCTTTCTGCCAATTATAGGAGAGAACCAGTGCAGCATAATAGTTAGCCCTGGAGTTGGACTGGGGACAGTGAAATGCACTGGGCAGACTTCTGTCCAGCCGGTGACTCACAGCTGGCCTACTTTACAGGGTTGTTGTGAGGACAACACGGAGAAGGAGCGTGTGGGCTGCCTTGTGTTTCCGTCTGGAAGAAATAAGGCAAGATATAAATGCAATACCAAAAGAGAAAGTCCAGCTTTTAGAATGAATGTGAGCAAAACTGGACAATCGCTGGAGAACCGGCAAATGATAATTGGCGATGGGAAAGCAGCAGGGCCCTCCGGGGGAAGCCCAGATGGAGGGTCTGCACCCCGGAAATAACACAGATCCATACCCACACACAAGGACCTCTGCTCCGTTGTCAGAAGTCTGGGGGCAAAAACCAGTGAATCGTGGTGTGTGAGGGGATGCGGCGCGCCATCTAAGCCCTGAGAAGCACCCATTTTGCTCTTGGCTCGTTTTTGTTGTTAGTCGCGAAGTCGTGTCCGACCCACCACGACCCCGTGGACAACATTCCTCCAGGCCTTCCTGTCTTCCACCATCCCCCGGAGTCCACTTAAGCTCACACCCACTGCTTCAGTGATGCCATCCAGCCACCTCATCCTCTGCCGTCCCCTTCTCCTTTTGCCATCTATTGTTCCCAGCGTTAGGCTCTTCTCCAGGGAGTCCTTCCTTCTCATTAGGTGGCCAAACTATTTGAGCTTCATCTTCAGTATCTGGCCTTCTAAAGAGCAGTCAGGGTTGATCTCCTCTGGGACTGACTGGTTGGATCGCCTTGCGGTCCAAGGGACTCACAGGAGTCTCCTCCAGCACAATTCAAAGGCCTCAGTCCTTTGGCGCTCAGCCTTCCTTATGGCCCAGCTTTCACAGCCATACATTGCAACTGGGAAAACCATAGCCTTGACTACACGCACTTTTGTTGGCAGGGTGATGTCTCTGCTTTTTAGTATGCTGTCTAGATTTGCCATAGCTTTCCTCCCCAGGAGCAAGCGTCTTTTAATTTCTTGGCTGCAGTCCCCATCTGCGATGATCTTGGAGCCCAGGAAAATAAAATCTGTCACTACCTCCATTTCTTCTCCGTCTATTTGCCAGGAAGTGAGAGGACCAGATGCCATGATCTTAGTTTT